CACGCAATTGAGGGAGGGCGGCAGTTGCTGTTCATACTAGGTAAGACACATCATTTTATTTTATAACGCGGATATTTCCGAAGTAATTTTTTCTAAAAGCTGTTATATGACCGTAGTATTTTATTGTAAATTATGATTATAATCACATGAGAAAAAAACAGGCTTAATAAATTTAGAGACATTTTTTGGCTCTGCCTCTTGGACTATTATTCGTTCGTTTTCTGGTACACGATTTTTCATAAGCTTGCCCGTTCCGTGGATGTTTCTTTCTGTCAGTGTCTCAAGCAAAGTAAGGGATGTAAAATATCGGTCGAGATCAACTGATGAATTTAGTGGCAATGTATTAGCAAACATAGGAACTACACGGCCTCCAAATATCATTTTTTTCTGGCATCGGATACAATGCAGAATCGACAGAAGTGCCTTGCCCCTGGTAGAGGTATAAATGGAGTGGAAGTCCGTTGGGATTTGCCATCACGAACATTTTAATATTTTTTGGATTTGGTTTGCCATCGATCACTTGTTTTGGCTTACATTTGCCTGTACAAGGTATAATTTCGTCTTCTATGGCTACATTTTTCTCCTTTTATTTTCTCTGCATGCTAGTTATATTTGGGAAGCTATGGGACGGATTTCCCAAAATCTTTCCACCTCTTTCATGGCACTGGTAACTTTTTAATCATCTATGATTTTAATATTTGGTCTTACTTGGAAGTACCTATTAGTTTCGGATACCAATGCAATTCTTGTTTCTTGAGCCCAATACATCCTAAAACGAGGCAAACCAATAATTAAAAATTAAAAATTTTGTACAGCCGACTTCAATATAAGTTATTAAGAATAACTCAATTAACTCTAAAACTCTTGGTCTGACCTTGATCAAATTCATATGGGACCACACGAGAAGTATCAGCTTTCATATACATAAAGAATCATCGAAATCGGTCCACCCAGTAAAAAGTTATGAGGTAACACACATAAAAAAAACATACGCGTCGAATTGAGTACCGTCTCCTTTTTGGAAGTCGGCAAAAAAGGCCAATGACCATGGAGCAGCCGATAAAAGTTTTCAATTTCTTCAGTTGTCGAATTTAGCGACTTCCCAGTTCTAAAACTACTACAAATGACGGGTTGCGAACCGTGTGATAAGAATTAATATTTTGAGCAAAATTATTTTTGGATAAAAAATTAAAATATATAAAATATATGGGGTTATAATAAAATGTACCATGTATTTGAAGTCAAATTTTAATGTTTTCCATATTAAAATTACTTTAATAATAAATACAAATGAAAAAATAAAATCACATATACCGTTTTGGCATAGAGAAAAAATTGAATAATACACTTAATGGCACATAATAGTTTATGTACGATACTGATAAAATTTGATGTTTAAACTTGTGTCGGTCGAAGAGTTCAATTGTTCAAGTAGGGTGTGTACACTGTCAAATTGAAACATATTTAAAAATTTGTATTTAAGTTATTACTGTTATACGCTGGGTGAAAAATTTGTTTAACTTATTCATATTCACTTAAAGTATAATCCAAATTACTTTCTTCGTCTGTCGCGTGCACGTCATCTTTTCGCGGTCGACCTGGCCCTCATAAATGAATTGTTGAAGTCGATGCGTTCTCATCACTTTGTAACGTATTATTAAAAGTCCTGATTTATCGGTGGTATGAATTTAGAAGTTGCATCAAATTTTCATCTTTAGCTGCTTTTATTTTGATTTCGTTTTTTGTGAATTTTGGGAATAGTTCCTTTTTTAGCATCCATTTGAACTTGGCGAAATGGTGAGTCATCTAACGACTCCTTAAAATACATAATCTTCGGTTTTACTTTTAAAAATCTCATCCATCTTATTTTTAGCCAATTAATTTTAATTTTAGCTCTGTCAATTTTTCTGTTAATAATGGGTTTTTCAACAAGAACTTTGTTTTCTAAAACAAAATAAAACAAAGAGATTAGATGAAGATGATTCAAATTTTTATTGTATTACGACGAGAAAAGTTTGGCAATTATGAATGAAAAATGATATCTGGCAAATGTCCACCACGACCACGCTGACAGATGTCGATTCTTTCATCAAAGTTTTTAATCACTTTTTGGCAAAATAGCGGGTCTATTTCGTTAATCACGTCACTGATTTTGAGTTTTAAGGCCGCGATCGATTCGATTGGCTCCGTATAGACTCTGTCCTTAACATAGCCCCACAAAAAATAATCCACTGGTGTTAAATCACACGATCTGGCTGGCCATTTAACAGCTGAATTTCGTGAAATTATGCGATCGGGAAATTTGGTTTGCAATAAATTGATCGTTTCGTTGGCTGTGTGACATGTGGCACCGTCCTGTTGAAACCACATGTTTGTGATATCGATGTCATCAATAATAGGCCAAAATTGAGATGTTAACATCTCGCGATAGCGTGATCCATTGACCGTTACCGCATTTCCAGTCTCATCTTCAAAAAAAACGGCCCAATCACGCCTCCAGACCACATAGCGCACCATACAGTGACACGTTGAGCATGCAAAGGCTTCTCAATAATCACTTTAGGATTTTCAGAAGCCCAAATGCGGCAATTTTGCTTGTTGACGTACCCTGACAAGTGAAAATGGGCTTCGTCTGAAAAAATAATTCTTTCAGAAAAACCAGCGGGCTGTTCCTGAATGAATTGAGCGAATCTACGGCGATGTGAATGGTCGGTCAGCTTCAATTCCTGCCCAGTTGAACCTTGTAAGGCTTCAAAGCCAAATCCTTACGCAAAATTCGCCATGTGGTGGTTTTGGATAACCCAAATTGTTGAGAACGTCGAGGAATTGACAAATTTGGATCTTCTTCAACACTGTGGCTCACGGCTGCGATGTTTTCGGTTGAACGTCCCGGTCGAACACGCGCTGGTGTTGGCGCATTTTGGTACCGAGCCTGTCGATTCAAATTTAGCGACCAAATTCTTAATAGCGGTCTCAGAAGGACGATTATGTTGTCCGAAAATATCACGAATTTTACGAAACGTAACTTTAACAGAACCACCATTTTCATAGTGGATTTTAATTATTTTAATGCGATTTTCGAGCGAAATTGAATTCATTGTAGCAATTGCCAAAGCATCTACTACGAATAGGTCAAAAAACTAAATGTCAAAACTGTCATGTTTTTGGTGTTGTCCCAATTGAAAAACAAAGTTCTTTTTGAAAAACCCTTTAGTAACCTTTGTGACAGGGTCCGTAGAAATAAAATCTTCTTGTTGCATTTTATGTACTTTAAATTCCTTTCGCGTTTTTTCAACCAAAGTCATCCAGTCTTCAGACACATAAATATACGAGACTTTCTTCTTCTGTTTATCATTGAGCAAAAAATCAGCGTCATTCTCTAGGTAACTGTGCTCCGATTCCATGAATTTGTGATCCACTTTTGTTAACCCAGTATGAGCTACGACACATGTACATCCAAAACCTTCAAATTATTTGGTTTCGGTTTTGACCACTACAACTGTCAAGTGTTTACACTCTTTAGGGACAATATTTGTGATATACTTTAAAAAACGAAAAGCTACTTCTGATGCTCCACGTGACGCAATATTTTCTTTCCACATATACATTTGCGCATCTCCAATTTTGCAGTCATGAATTGTCCAAAATTGACGCTTGTAGTATACCAAATTTGTTCGTATTGAGTAGGTAAGGTTTACTGTAATTCAATAGTAATTAGATAAACTGCTTCATTTTCATTGTTCCTATGTTTAGATGTTCTAGTCCTTTCATCTTCTAATAAATTATTTTCTTTTTCTTCCTTGATGCATTGTTTCTTTTCTGCATTTTCTTCACATTTATAAAGATTCTTTAGCTTGTCACATATATTACATGTATTACTTATAAGTTTGTAAAATCCAAAATTAAAATCAGTATTAAACACCTTTCTATAGATTTGTTCTCTACCTGGTTGTTTGCCTTCAGTAATGGTTTTTCCTTTATACAGCGATACATTTTTGATAATGATAACTCAGGAGATAGATATCTTTTAAGTGGTGCATACTCGCGTGAATAATGGCTTTTAAATTTGGAAAAACTGTTGATGTGTTCCCTGATGTCTTTCAATTTGTCTTCTATGGTTTTATTTTCAGGCACATGCTTGCCACGTTTGTCGTACACAGGCAGTCCTTTGCCTGTAGTTTGAGCTAGGGATGCCCGATCTGAATCGATTTTCTGGAAGATCGATTCACGGCCATACGATCTGCCGATTTTTGAATCGATTTAAGGGAATGCGATCTTCACCCAGATTCATCACCTCGATTCGTATGGCTATTAGATCTTATGAAAAAATCGTATCAACTAAAACCTAAACTTTAACCAAACAGTAATGTCCTAACGTATGAACTGATCTTTGCATACCTATCGTATTGTCGGGGAGGGGACAGAATAACTAAAACAAAGTTCTTACTTTGTTTTAGTTACTGTCTTACTTATTACCTACACATTAAATGAGAGTAGATTCGAGTTACATCTAAAACGGTAGTGTATGAAATATGAAGGTAGGTATGATAATATATTGTTTATTTTATTATCGGGTATCTATGTTAGTGTTATAAGGATAGGTTACTCGTACATTGATGGAGCCACATAAGTCGACTCGCGAGCTATCGCTGGTCATAATTTACAACCCATTTTAAAATAATAACTTCCAAGATTAAACACATAATACTTGCATTAATAAGTATTATATAATATGTACATTACACTATTTGTGTGCGGTTGTGTTATTGTGTAGTGGTGTAATCCATGGGTGTCGTAAGAGAGGACAGAGGAAAACAAATCAGGAGATTGGCAGCAAAATACTCCTAATAACGACAAAAAAAAAAACTGTGGCTGAAATCCCGCTAGCCAAGCGTGGCATTTATGGTAAATATCCCCTTTATGAGGCAGTCTATAGGGGCGGTCTTTGTTCAGCAGTGGACTTTAATAGGCTGTATCGGTAACGGTGCGTTTGTCGGCAGGGCGGTGCGGCGAGTGCGGCGCGACGTTCCCGCGCTACGAGCAGCTGCGGCGGCACCGCGCGTGCGCGCACGGCTCGCCGTCGCCCGCGCTGCCGCACGCCTGCGCGCAGTGCGGCAAGCGCTTCGGCCACGCGCACTCGCTCACCCGCCACATGCACAACCACGCCAAGCAGCTCTACCGCTGCGTCGTCTGCAAGGTACACCCGTGCACCACACTGTCTCACTACGTACACTAGTGCACCACACTGCCTCACTACGAGCAGCTGCGGCGGCACCGCGCGTGCGCGCACGGCTCGCCGTCGCCCGCGCTGCCGCACGCCTGCGCGCAGTGCGGCAAGCGCTTCGGCCACGCGCACTCGCTCACCCGCCACATGCACAACCACGCCAAGCAGCTCTACCGCTGCGTCGTCTGCAAGGTACACCCGTGCACCACACTGTCTCACTACGTACACTAGTGCACCACACTGCCTCACTACGAGCAGCTGCGGCGGCACCGCGCGTGCGCGCACGGCTCGCCGTCGCCCGCGCTGCCGCACGCCTGCGCGCAGTGCGGCAAGCGCTTCGGCCACGCGCACTCGCTCACCCGCCACATGCACAACCACGCCAAGCAGCTCTACCGCTGCGTCGTCTGCAAGGTACACCCGTGCACCACACTGTCTCACTACGTACACTAGTGCACCACACTGCCTCACTACGAGCAGCTGCGGCGGCACCGCGCGTGCGCGCACGGCTCGCCGTCGCCCGCGCTGCCGCACGCCTGCGCGCAGTGCGGCAAGCGCTTCGGCCACGCGCACTCGCTCACCCGCCACATGCACAACCACGCCAAGCAGCTCTACCGCTGCGTCGTCTGCAAGGTACACCCGTGCACCACACTGTCTCACTACGTACACTAGTGCACCACACTGCCTCACTACGAGCAGCTGCGGCGGCACCGCGCGTGCGCGCACGGCTCGCCGTCGCCCGCGCTGCCGCACGCCTGCGCGCAGTGCGGCAAGCGCTTCGGCCACGCGCACTCGCTCACCCGCCACATGCACAACCACGCCAAGCAGCTCTACCGCTGCGTCGTCTGCAAGGTACACCCGTGCACCACACTGTCTCACTACGTACACTAGTGCACCACACTGCCTCACTACGAGCAGCTGCGGCGGCACCGCGCGTGCGCGCACGGCTCGCCGTCGCCCGCGCTGCCGCACGCCTGCGCGCAGTGCGGCAAGCGCTTCGGCCACGCGCACTCGCTCACCCGCCACATGCACAACCACGCCAAGCAGCTCTACCGCTGCGTCGTCTGCAAGGTACACCCGTGCACCACACTGTCTCACTACGTACACTAGTGCACCACACTGCCTCACTACGAGCAGCTGCGGCGGCACCGCGCGTGCGCGCACGGCTCGCCGTCGCCCGCGCTGCCGCACGCCTGCGCGCAGTGCGGCAAGCGCTTCGGCCACGCGCACTCGCTCACCCGCCACATGCACAACCACGCCAAGCAGCTCTACCGCTGCGTCGTCTGCAAGGTACACCCGTGCACCACACTGTCTCACTACGTACACTAGTGCACCACACTGCCTCACTACGAGCAGCTGCGGCGGCACCGCGCGTGCGCGCACGGCTCGCCGTCGCCCGCGCTGCCGCACGCCTGCGCGCAGTGCGGCAAGCGCTTCGGCCACGCGCACTCGCTCACCCGCCACATGCACAACCACGCCAAGCAGCTCTACCGCTGCGTCGTCTGCAAGGTACACCCGTGCACCACACTGTCTCACTACGTACACTAGTGCACCACACTGCCTCACTACGAGCAGCTGCGGCGGCACCGCGCGTGCGCGCACGGCTCGCCGTCGCCCGCGCTGCCGCACGCCTGCGCGCAGTGCGGCAAGCGCTTCGGCCACGCGCACTCGCTCACCCGCCACATGCACAACCACGCCAAGCAGCTCTACCGCTGCGTCGTCTGCAAGGTACACCCGTGCACCACACTGTCTCACTACGTACACTAGTGCACCACACTGCCTCACTACGAGCAGCTGCGGCGGCACCGCGCGTGCGCGCACGGCTCGCCGTCGCCCGCGCTGCCGCACGCCTGCGCGCAGTGCGGCAAGCGCTTCGGCCACGCGCACTCGCTCACCCGCCACATGCACAACCACGCCAAGCAGCTCTACCGCTGCGTCGTCTGCAAGGTACACCCGTGCACCACACTGTCTCACTACGTACACTAGTGCACCACACTGCCTCACTACGAGCAGCTGCGGCGGCACCGCGCGTGCGCGCACGGCTCGCCGTCGCCCGCGCTGCCGCACGCCTGCGCGCAGTGCGGCAAGCGCTTCGGCCACGCGCACTCGCTCACCCGCCACATGCACAACCACGCCAAGCAGCTCTACCGCTGCGTCGTCTGCAAGGTACACCCGTGCACCACACTGTCTCACTACGTACACTAGTGCACCACACTGCCTCACTACGAGCAGCTGCGGCGGCACCGCGCGTGCGCGCACGGCTCGCCGTCGCCCGCGCTGCCGCACGCCTGCGCGCAGTGCGGCAAGCGCTTCGGCCACGCGCACTCGCTCACCCGCCACATGCACAACCACGCCAAGCAGCTCTACCGCTGCGTCGTCTGCAAGGTACACCCGTGCACCACACTGTCTCACTACGTACACTAGTGCACCACACTGCCTCACTACGAGCAGCTGCGGCGGCACCGCGCGTGCGCGCACGGCTCGCCGTCGCCCGCGCTGCCGCACGCCTGCGCGCAGTGCGGCAAGCGCTTCGGCCACGCGCACTCGCTCACCCGCCACATGCACAACCACGCCAAGCAGCTCTACCGCTGCGTCGTCTGCAAGGTACACCCGTGCACCACACTGTCTCACTACGTACACTAGTGCACCACACTGCCTCACTACGAGCAGCTGCGGCGGCACCGCGCGTGCGCGCACGGCTCGCCGTCGCCCGCGCTGCCGCACGCCTGCGCGCAGTGCGGCAAGCGCTTCGGCCACGCGCACTCGCTCACCCGCCACATGCACAACCACGCCAAGCAGCTCTACCGCTGCGTCGTCTGCAAGGTACACCCGTGCACCACACTGTCTCACTACGTACACTAGTGCACCACACTGCCTCACTACGAGCAGCTGCGGCGGCACCGCGCGTGCGCGCACGGCTCGCCGTCGCCCGCGCTGCCGCACGCCTGCGCGCAGTGCGGCAAGCGCTTCGGCCACGCGCACTCGCTCACCCGCCACATGCACAACCACGCCAAGCAGCTCTACCGCTGCGTCGTCTGCAAGGTACACCCGTGCACCACACTGTCTCACTACGTACACTAGTGCACCACACTGCCTCACTACGAGCAGCTGCGGCGGCACCGCGCGTGCGCGCACGGCTCGCCGTCGCCCGCGCTGCCGCACGCCTGCGCGCAGTGCGGCAAGCGCTTCGGCCACGCGCACTCGCTCACCCGCCACATGCACAACCACGCCAAGCAGCTCTACCGCTGCGTCGTCTGCAAGGTACACCCGTGCACCACACTGTCTCACTACGTACACTAGTGCACCACACTGCCTCACTACGAGCAGCTGCGGCGGCACCGCGCGTGCGCGCACGGCTCGCCGTCGCCCGCGCTGCCGCACGCCTGCGCGCAGTGCGGCAAGCGCTTCGGCCACGCGCACTCGCTCACCCGCCACATGCACAACCACGCCAAGCAGCTCTACCGCTGCGTCGTCTGCAAGGTACACCCGTGCACCACACTGTCTCACTACGTACACTAGTGCACCACACTGCCTCACTACGAGCAGCTGCGGCGGCACCGCGCGTGCGCGCACGGCTCGCCGTCGCCCGCGCTGCCGCACGCCTGCGCGCAGTGCGGCAAGCGCTTCGGCCACGCGCACTCGCTCACCCGCCACATGCACAACCACGCCAAGCAGCTCTACCGCTGCGTCGTCTGCAAGGTACACCCGTGCACCACACTGTCTCACTACGTACACTAGTGCACCACACTGCCTCACTACGAGCAGCTGCGGCGGCACCGCGCGTGCGCGCACGGCTCGCCGTCGCCCGCGCTGCCGCACGCCTGCGCGCAGTGCGGCAAGCGCTTCGGCCACGCGCACTCGCTCACCCGCCACATGCACAACCACGCCAAGCAGCTCTACCGCTGCGTCGTCTGCAAGGTACACCCGTGCACCACACTGTCTCACTACGTACACTAGTGCACCACACTGCCTCACTACGAGCAGCTGCGGCGGCACCGCGCGTGCGCGCACGGCTCGCCGTCGCCCGCGCTGCCGCACGCCTGCGCGCAGTGCGGCAAGCGCTTCGGCCACGCGCACTCGCTCACCCGCCACATGCACAACCACGCCAAGCAGCTCTACCGCTGCGTCGTCTGCAAGGTACACCCGTGCACCACACTGTCTCACTACGTACACTAGTGCACCACACTGCCTCACTACGAGCAGCTGCGGCGGCACCGCGCGTGCGCGCACGGCTCGCCGTCGCCCGCGCTGCCGCACGCCTGCGCGCAGTGCGGCAAGCGCTTCGGCCACGCGCACTCGCTCACCCGCCACATGCACAACCACGCCAAGCAGCTCTACCGCTGCGTCGTCTGCAAGGTACACCCGTGCACCACACTGTCTCACTACGTACACTAGTGCACCACACTGCCTCACTACGAGCAGCTGCGGCGGCACCGCGCGTGCGCGCACGGCTCGCCGTCGCCCGCGCTGCCGCACGCCTGCGCGCAGTGCGGCAAGCGCTTCGGCCACGCGCACTCGCTCACCCGCCACATGCACAACCACGCCAAGCAGCTCTACCGCTGCGTCGTCTGCAAGGTACACCCGTGCACCACACTGTCTCACTACGTACACTAGTGCACCACACTGCCTCACTACGAGCAGCTGCGGCGGCACCGCGCGTGCGCGCACGGCTCGCCGTCGCCCGCGCTGCCGCACGCCTGCGCGCAGTGCGGCAAGCGCTTCGGCCACGCGCACTCGCTCACCCGCCACATGCACAACCACGCCAAGCAGCTCTACCGCTGCGTCGTCTGCAAGGTACACCCGTGCACCACACTGTCTCACTACGTACACTAGTGCACCACACTGCCTCACTACGAGCAGCTGCGGCGGCACCGCGCGTGCGCGCACGGCTCGCCGTCGCCCGCGCTGCCGCACGCCTGCGCGCAGTGCGGCAAGCGCTTCGGCCACGCGCACTCGCTCACCCGCCACATGCACAA